GTGTGTGTGTGTGTGTGTGTGTGTGTGTGTGTGTGTGTGTGTGTGTGTGTGTGTGTGTGTGTGCGCGTTGTGAATAAAACTTTTGCGTCTTTGCCGTATGGTCTAAATGGGTTTATGGGCCCCATGCAGTCATGATCAGGCCAATCATTAACACATACCATGTCAGTCGTTGGATTCATACAGGTGGAGAGTGAGACGGACACACACCATATAAGAGCAATAAAAGAACAAAAACCTTGCTGCTTAGAGGTTTATCCGCATGCATACCGTTGTCAGATCCGCATTATGAATCATTCCACTTCCACGCTTTCATCATAACTGCCTGCATCTCTTCGGTCACCAAACCAGTCGGGATAGTTTAGAGGTGAAAGGTTTTCGCCTCCCATACAGAGGATTACTGGTTTTCAATTTGGTCTTTGTGTACAGTTTAATAGCACATTTGACATGATTCCAAGACCCAGTTCATTGCTTGTGGGTACACAGTCACCGAACAGAAGACGCTGCTGTTTCTGCTATAATTGGACTTATGCAATCCCGAACGACAACTCAGAACAAGCCACAAGCCCTGCATGTGTGTATGTGACTCAGTCTACTTTCAGAAATTAGTGCCCTATAGTGCCTCAGACTACATTTAAATCACCTCTGGATTAAGTTATGAAACCGTTTCGCCCAAAACTGAGCGATCACGTTTAGAGAAATAAGCCTGCTGTCAGATGTTGAGCTATTCAGTCCACATTTATTTACCTTTTGGTATATTTAACCAATGAAAAATCGTTACCAAGTCAGCTACATTATATTTCCAAAAGGATCAGGATATTTCCATCAGACGCAGTGATGTAAAGCACGCTGCCACTGGGCTACACAGCAGTGGAGATGTTCAAATTCAAATTCAAATTTTATTTGTCACGTACACAGCCATACACAGTACGATATGTAGTGAAATGCTTGGACAACTGCTCGTGACCTAAAGAAAACAAAAAAGGAAAGGCTATGAATAAGATAGGAAATAAATATGAAAAATTAAAAAGGGTAAATTTAACTAGGAAGGAATAAAATATAAATTAAGGTTAAAAATGAAATAACTGTACAACACAAATTAGAATGAAGGGTAAATTTAACTGGGAGAATAAGATAAAATATATAAATTAAAGTTGAAAATAAAATAACTGTGCAACAAAATACACAATATAGAACTATATAAGAATGTATGAAGAAATCTAAATATAAATAAATATATACACAATAACAGCAGCTGTACAAGTATTAACCGGGGATGGCCCCTTCCTGTTCCAACATGACTGAGATGAGCGAGATTGGTGTGGAAGAACTTGAATGGGATATCTGGGATGGAAGAGTGGGATGCCACTCAAGTTCATATGTGTGTGAAGGTAAACGAGCGAATACTTTTAGGTATAGTGTATAAGCTATACCTGAAAAACGCATATAAAACCTATTAGACATTTTCTTATTTCTGATAGGGTTGTTGAACAACCATGCACAAAATGTCACCAGTAGTGTGATGGATCCAGCATTAGTGTTATGCACACACTGCTTTAGGTACAAATCTGCACATAAGCAGTAACGGTGTGGCTGAAATGCAGACGCAAATGATGTGTTGTTTTTCAGGGTTTAAAACGAGTAAAATATTGTCACATGTTTGGGTTGGCTAAATGGCATCTCCCAGCATGCCCTGGGACACTGTGTGTTTGTTTAATTGAGCTTAAGAGAACTGTCCAGTTTTGCTACATATTACATATTATATTTGCTTACAGTGTTACTTTTAATCGTTACAGTATTAAAACAGGCACAAAGTTACATGCAAAGTTACTAACCCTCTTGGAAGCTCAGTGTTTAGCGCTGTGTTCAAACGTAAGTAAATCAGCACTGGTCTGTGGCTGAGTGGAGTTTATAACTCAGGTGTGGCAGTGAGGTGTTATATTGTTTGTTCAGTTTCTGTTGTTACTGTATTAAAACTCTTACTTATACTAAATAAATACTCGGTTTAAAGGTACTTTGTTACTATGCTCTTCTGGTCTTACTGACCACTGACAGCACTGTTAACTCTCTTCCCCAGGTCCTGAATCTTGTCCAAAGACACTCCGACATACCACGTGGACAGTAGCGTCCTCAGCTGCAGGCTGTTGTGCCTGGTGAGCTTGTTAAGTTAAAGGTTTATGGTTTCTTTGTATGAACTATAAAGGTCTAGTTTTGGGGACTGAACCCAAGACCTTCTGTATGCAAAATAAATGCGGTAAACACTACACAATGAAACCACACAGGTGCCACCTTCCTCTACCTTGTTTTTATTTTCCTGCAAGGCAGATAACTACAGACCAGGAGCAGCAAAAAAATGTTTGGTGAAAGGTTGTTGTGTTTTTGTAGAAACGAACGTTTCAACAGTCTGAAGTGATATGCATCTGCCCTGTCGGAGATCTGTTTTCAGGTGAGATGTTTTCCTTACACTTCTCAGAACAGAAATATGTGTGAATGTTGAGGGCCAAGCGGCCACCACAGACTAAAGTCTCCTGCCTGACTCCCTCGCACATCTAATGGTGAATCTAGTTATGAAGCAACAGACACAAGCATAAAACCCGGATTACATGTAGTAGCATACGCTGATCGGTCCTAACGTTATGACCATCGACAGGTGAAGTGAATTTTAGATTCAGGAAAAATGGACATGCACAAGGATTTGAGGGAGTTTGGGCCAACATGATGGTAGATAAATGGGTCAGAGTGTTCATGCAGTATTCAGTATCTATCGAAAGAATGAACCAGTGGAGTTCGTGCCTCGTTGTGGTCATAATATTATATTAATCATTATATATGTGAAACACAGGCTCCTTTTTGTATCTGCAGACAACTTTGAGCAGTTTGTCTATCAATGCTTCA